TTTTTTTTTTTTTTTTTTTTTTTTTGCTGCAATCTAGAAACGGTCCTGTGTTGTGTCATCTCGACGCACTCCTCGATGGTATGGGCCTTCTTGCTGCACCACTTGTGAAAGGCCAACATTGCGAACTATCGGGAACATTGGGACCATTGGGACCAGTTACCGTCCCCGATACATTCAGAATGTTGGCGCTTGAAGTTTCTGAAGTCGGAACTTTAAAGTTTAAACTTTAAACTACCAGCGCTTGCGAGCCGAGGGACTTTTCCCCGAGGCTGGAAACGCCCTGCAGTGCATGCCAAAAAAAAAGGCGGGGGGCAGGAACCCGCCTTTTTTTTGGCTGCCACGCGCAGCCATTTCGCTCCTGAGGACGAGCCCCTAAAGTTGCGGCTGCATGCAAGCCGCATATTATATTCTTTGGCTGGGAAAGGTACTGGTGGTTTAATATGTCAGCTTTCAAAACAAAATGTGAAAAACTGAATTGGAATTAATCGCCGGAGTAAAAGGATCGTGGTGGTGGTCCCACGACATGGGACCACTTTCGGATTTTCTCTCCTTGATGGTCCCACAAACACTGGGCCACGTTTGGACCTTCAAGTTGTCTTATGGTGGTACCCCTCAACGTTGGACCCTGCCTGGATCTTCTCTCCCTGGTAGTCCTGCAACCGCCCGACCATTGGCATTGATTGATTGATTAATTAATGTCTCTGGAAGCCACCTCCTTGCTCAAAGAGAGAGAGAGAGAGAGAGAGAGAGAGAGAGAGAGAGAGAGAGAGAGAGAGAGAGAGAGAGAGAGAGTTGGGCAGCTTTTTGTGCATGACGGTGCCTCCGGTGCTTGCAGACGCTGGTCAACAAGGTTGGTGATAGGCATGGAGAAATATATGAACGTTGCCAAGAGTGGTATAGTATTATAGTGTCTTCACCTGAATAGAGCGTACACTCAATATCATTGTATCTAGACTGAGAGTTGCCCTAAATACAGCTATAATGACCGTTTGTTCTATTCGGGGGAAGATGGTATTGTGTATTGGAACTCGAGTGGAAAAACCCACGTAACTGGGACACTTTTTTTTTTTTTTTTTTTTTTTTTAGCGGAGGTCCAAAAGAGATCTGACGTTTCTGCACACTTGCGAGAAAACAGGAGAATTACTCTTCTGCCCTTTGTTTTCTTTTTCTTTTTCCTGTGCGAATTATCACCCCACCCGGTACTTTGAGGCCATTTTGGTATTTGAAAGAAAAAAAAAAAAAAAAAAACTTAAAAAAACCTGTGTGTCGGTCAGCCTCTGGCTCGATGAGAAAAGTGTGGATCTAGCTGCGGCAATCCCGGACTCTTTCATTTGGTCTTCTTTTTTTTTGTTTCCTTTTTTGAAAATGGGGCGAGCCCCTGCCATTATTGTACGAATCACGCTTTGAAAGCGTGGTCTGTTCATCAGCAGATACATTACACTTGTGTATGCACACGGCTCAGTCAAAAGGTGGGGAAGGAATCATGGTCTCTTGATGCATGTCCTGTTCAGTTTGGCGTTTGTGTTTCGAAAAGAAGTCTGCAAAATTGTAAATGCCCAATGCCCAGGTCAATGCCAAGTCAATGTTAAAGTCAATGGTCAAAGTTGTAAATGCCCAATGCCCAGGTCAATGCCCAGGTCAATGCCCAAGTCAATGCTCAAGTCAATGCTCGAGTCAATGGTCAAAGTCAATGGTCAAAGTTGTAAATGCCCAATGCCCAGGTCAATGCCCAAGTCAATGGTCAAAGTTGTAAAAGCCCAATGTCCANGTAAAAGCCCAATGTCCAGGTCAATGCCCAAGTCAATGGTCAAAGTCAATGGTCAAAGTTGTAAATGCCCAATGCCCAGGTCAATGCCCAAGTCAGTGGTCAAAGTCAGTGGTCAAAGTCAATGGTCAAAGTCAATGGTCAAAGTCAATGGTCAAAGTCAATGGTGAAAGTTGTAAATGCCCAATTCCCAGAGAAAACACATTGATGTAGGCACTTCAGAACCCTTGATGTCACAGGTCAAAACATTCTGTGGAAAGCCCAAGTCAATGCCCAGGTCAACGCCTCATTTGGTCAAGGATGTTGTCAATGCTCAGGTCAACTCCAGGTCAACGGACAGGTCCGTTGACCAAAGGTAGGCATTGACCTGATGTGCAGTTCTCGTCAGGTCAATGCCCACCTCGGATCAATGCTCAGGTCAAAACCTACCTCACGTGAATCTTCAGGTTGATCCCTGGCCAATGCGTAGGTCAATACCCAAATTGATGCTCACGTATGGTCAGGTCAGCGCTCAGGTCAATTCCTACCTTAGATTAATTCTCAGATCATCCCCTACCTCAGGTCAATTTTCAGATCAACGCCTACCTCAAAGTCAATAATTAACTCAAATTAATGGCTCTGGTCAACGCCTACCTCAGGTCAATTCTCAGGTCAATGCCTACCTCAAGTCAATGCTCAGGTCAATGTCTACCTGAGGTCAATGCGCAGGTCTATTCCAGGCCGACGCTCAGCTCAACATGCAGATTGATGGGCAGGTCTGGTCAGGTCAATGCCTACCTCAGGGCAGGTCAATGTGCACGTTTATTCCTTGGCCAATGCCCAGGTCAATTCCAGGTCAACGCTGTTCTGGTTAAGGTCAATGCTCTGGTCAATGCCTACCTCAGGTCAATGGTCAGTTCAATGCCTACCTCGGGTTGACGATCAGTTCGATTCCCTGGTCAATCTTCGGGGCAATTCCAGGTCAACGCTCAGGTCAATGTCAAGGGTGATGCTCCGATCTGTTCATGTCCATGCCTACCTCAGTTAAAAGCTCAGGCCAATTTCCGGGTCAATGCTCAGGGCGATTCCGGGTCAACGCTATCAAGTTCCATGCTCATGTAAATGCTCAGGTCACCAACACACCTAGCTCAGTCGTTACACTCATGAAACTGTTGAAATGCAGCCGTGTCCCCTGGGATGACCAGCCACCACCTTCTTCCCCCGAATACAACGTACGGTCATTATATAGCTGTATTTGAGGCATCTTTCAGTCTAGATACAGCTATAATGACGGCACGTTGTGTTAGGAGGAAGAAGGTAGTGACCTCAAAGTTCAGGCCCCTATACTGACCTGGTCAACGGTAATGTCAACGGTCTTGTGGTCAAGTCAACGGTCTCTTCTGGTTCGGTCAACGGTCAACTCAGAGTCCTGGAATGACGGCTTTGGAGGTCCCTTGATTAACTGCAGTGAATCTTGCAGAGACTTACAGTTACACAATGACAAGGTTAAAACCAGCATGATGTTCATGGTGGGCATTCAGACCTCTGATGAATCTATACGGAATACTGTCCTTGTTCATTGTTAAAACCCTATCCGGCCCCCCACGTTGAATTGTCAAGGGGGGGCTGGACTCCTCCCCCCCGCCGCCCCGAAAAAAAAAAAACCACAGAAAAACGTTTTGAACTCCCCATGCCCGCATTATTGCATGCAAACTTGCAAAAGGATTTGAACCGTCGATCTGTTTAAACTTTAAACCGCCAGTACACGGCCCCAGCCTTGCTGTAAAGAAAAACTCGTCGCCTACAAAATTTTCGTTGGCCCAGCACCGTAGATAAATCGAATCGGCGGCGGGGGGCCTCCGGATAGGGCTCGCGGCCGATAGCTGGATGTACTGGTGGTTTAAATGTATTATTATTATTATACGACTCGTTTTTGCCTATTGACCATGACAGGCATAGCTTGTACACTTGGTTGTTCGCCTCAAAAGTAGAGAGACTCAAAAGTGTGAATTTTGATTGATAGATCGTGAGTTCAGAAATCAAGTTCAAACCCTGTTAAAAAATATTAAGGGCCCTGTTAAAAAATATTAGGGTCCATTTTGTTTGTTTCAGAAAGAATTGATAGCTACGCTTTTATGGCGGCGGCCGTGGCGCTGCCTTTATTGCCTCTATTCTGTAAGGCATCACTCCAGCTCCTCCTCTTCCACCTACGATTCGAAAAGTGATTCTCCAACCCGGCCGCCCCCCCCCCCCCCCCCAAAAAAAAAGAAAAAAAAAAAAAAAAGAAGAAGATAAACAATGGCCCCCCTTTCTTATCTCCATTTGTCCCCAAATCACCTCTTTTATTATTTGTTTATTTATTAATTTATTTATTAAATTATTTATTTGTTCATGTGGCCTGATGGACAATGGATCAGATATGAAACTGATCCGAACCGATATATACTACACTTGATCTATTTTTAGCCAGAAGGCCAAGAAAGGTATTTCAAAGTACCTTTTCGCTCCTTGGACCATTCCTCTCAGTTCAAAATGACAAAGGGAGAAGAAAAAAAAAAGAGGACAAGAAAGAAGGAAAGATAGATCTTTTTCTCTTTTTTTTTTTTTTCCCGTTGTTGTTTTTGGCTTTTCCCCTATTTGCCCCTAATATCCTCGTCTTTGACAAAGAGCAGGATGGAACTTCGAAAGCCCTGTCCTGATTGCCTTTTGGGTCTTCTTACGGATGAACTTTTGGCAGTGATGGCGGAGTCTTGAGCTGTTGATCTCTCGCTTGCGCGCAAAGCACACTCAAAAATTGCATCCCCTGTTCAATCATCCATATCTGAGGCCCCAGGAGCACAAGCTTGAATGATCGCGTGCTGGAGGTAGTAATTCGCCATCTCCACCAGCTCTCCGAGTACAAACAACCTTCACGCAGACTGGATATGGCAGCAGCTATGGCCGCTTCAGACTGGAGGTCAGGAAGACGGTCCCTCTGCAGAAGGAGGCTGTGCCGCGATTCCGACGGATTTCAGCTCGTGTGTGGTTTCGGTGGTATTAACGTCGCTAGCTCTTGTCGGGTAACCCTCCTCCTTCTCTGTACCTGCGGGATGAGTATGAGCTTGTCGGCGGCAATGCAAAACCCTGTGACCGTGACACCGGCGATGCGAATGGCACTGCCGGCGGAGGGAAGGACTCGACGGATGGGAGATTCAAAAGACATGCGGCAACGCGAGAAGCCGATGAACGGTTGGAAGACGGCAACGTTTGCGATGGGAAGCTTCTGGATGGCAGAGGCTGTTTTTGCATGTTACCCTGGGGTTCTGAGAACAAGGGTGGGGTACGCTGGCGGCACGAGAGCCAATCCCGACTACTATCACATGGGCGATCACGCCGAGGCCGTTCAGATCGACTACGATCCAACGGTGATCAGCTATGAGCAACTGCTGGAGATCTTCTGGGCGAGTCACAATCCGGTTCAGTCGTTCGGACAAGGTCCTGATGTAGGAAGACAATACCGAGCGATCGTTTTCACAAGGAGCACGTACGAGGAATCGTTGGCGAGCGAGTCGAAGAAAGAAGTGCAAGAGAGGCATCCAAACGACAACGTAAGGGCGAGAGTGGTGAAGTTCGAGTCTTTCACGGTCGCAGAACCATTCCACCAAAAGTTCGAGTTGAAAAGACGGCCGCAATTGTTCCAGCTCGTCGCTCATCTGACGGATGCTGAGCTCCTTAACTCCAAAGCAGCAGCTGAGCTAAATGCTTATGCCTCAGGATTCTGCCCTCCAGCGATCAAACGGATGAGGAAGCTTGAGGCAAAGCTTCGACCCTTGATCGCTCGCCTTCGGGAACTTGACACCTCTTTTCTAGCGGAGACCGATTAGCCGCCATATCCCCATGACGTTACACGCACGTTCGTTCTTGGGCGTTGAGGACTATATAGTATATATCCTCAATGCTTGCGCGCTTTTCAAGGTAAAAGAGCCGTTCAGATCGACTACGATCCAACGGTCATCAGCTCCTAACGCTGTTGTATGCATCAGTGATTGAACTCAATGCCTGTTTTCTGGCGGAGACTGATTAACAGCCAAATCCAGATGACCTTAGACGCATGTATGTTCTTGCATCGAGGACTATATATCCTCAATGCTTATGCACTTTTGAAGAAGAATAGCTCCTAACAGTGTTGGAGTTGTAAGCATCCGTGCTTGAACTCATGACCTGTCTATCAACAGTCAGATGTGCATTACCTTTGCGAACCTGACGCTTGTTTTTGTGGTGGAGACTGATTAACAATTTAACAGCCATATGGCATATACCGATCACCTTACATTACAGGAATGCATGCTCTCATGTTGAGGGATATATATATATATACTTCTCCCTCTCTGCCTACGGTTTACCGGGCAGTTCTATTTGACGATATATATATATATATATATATGTCAATGCTTACACACTTTTACAGAAGGATAGCCCCCCTAACACTGGTACCCATCAATGTTTGAACTCATGACCTGTCTCTCAACAGTCAGATGTGTGGTACCTTTCTGCGACAGCGCACATGTGCAAAGCATGAGAGCCCTCGGCCTGGGTCGAACAGGCCTGTGCCCGCTGGAAAGGTTCTGCGCCATCCCTAAGCGAAGGCAGGCCCGAGTAGAGGGCGATGTGAGCAGGAAGGGCCCCGTGGTTTGGTTGCTGCACACAGCTTCTCCAACCTCTCTCTCTCTCTCTCTCTCTCTCTCTCTCTCTCTCGCCCACTCAGTTGAAGATGCTGGGGCCCCAGCGAAGATGCAGAGGCCCAGGGCAGTTACAGTTGAGCCCTGGGCACATTCTGGGAGCGCCCTGGGCGCAGCTACTGGGACAGAATGCCCCCAGCCAGGGTCTGCCTTGCCCAGCCAGACAGAAGAAAAGAGAGTGAGGCTCGCTCACTCAGGACATTCTGGCTGACTGGAGGGCTGCAACGCTGCTGGAGAACAAGCCACGCCAGTAGGAAGAGGGCGCTGGCGGGGTGAGTGGAAGACGCTGCAAAGGCGCAGCAACCAAAGCCCGGCTGCTAGCACCATGATAGCCGGAGGAGGAAGGCGGAGGTCCTTGGGCGCCGGACTGTCGAGGAGAGTCGAGGAGGAGAGCAATGTCAGAAGGCACTTACCTGGTGACGAGGAGCAGGCCGTATCACTCAGAGTCTTCATGCCTCGTCAGGCTGCTGTGCTTCATGGAATACCTGTTGTAGATAGAGTCTAGTTCGATAGGAGCGGTCTGATTCTGGTCTGGGCGCTGAGCGCCAATACAGGAGAGCAATGTTGTTGACATTGGTGTTGGAGGCGAGAAGAGGGCTGTCACTATCATTTGACTCCAGTGCTTTGCTCTTACTTATATGGTGTTGTCTTTGAGGTGTAATCTGCTTTCAGTTTGTGCTCAAAGTTATCTGGATTCCTATCGAATCCGGCAATTTGGTTTATTGTCATTCGCATTGCTCCTGTCCAGTCTTATGTACTTGACTGCCCTGGAGGTCACCTCTTCTTCTTCTTTCTTTTCTTTCTTTTTTTTTTTTTTTTTTTTTTTTGGACCATTTGTCAATTTATGCATGTCATCCTTGCGCAGGGGCCATGCTAATCTTCTCTCTGTGTATTGTTCCAGCTCGAATGACAAATGCATATTGAATTGGCGATAGCCCTTACAGTACCGTACCCACCAGGCTTTGAACTGATGACCTGTGCCTACCAACAGTCAGATGCATGTACGATTCGCTCCGGAGGCCCGTGCATAT